CAACGACCAAAGCAATGATGGGACCAATGCCCATCCTGCCACCATCGTGCGAGGCGGACTTGGTCACCTGGATCTTAACTATACTTCAAGATGGTCATCCTGTTGGAGCTCTGCAACGTGAGCTATATAACCTCGGTTTGTTGAAGTTGTAACAGTGTTACTTAGCCCCCCCGTTCCTCCAAGATTCTATTCCTGTACAAAAATGATAAACCTCTATGAGATGGTAGATTTGACGGTTTTACCCTTCATTATCCCATAGTTTAATCCAGTATAAATTCGGCTGATCACTGAGAGTCCTGTTTGAGTGAGCATTATCAACAATTTTTGGCTCATTCTGGAACTGTTGAAATTGATAGGCGACCAACTAGTCGTGTTCTGCATGTCTGGAGGAATATGAACATACACGTCATATCTTGTAGTTGTAAAAATTGCGCGAGATACACTCGAGTTCTCTAAGCTGAAATTCAGCTGATCACTGAGAGACTACGTTACTCCAGGAACTAATTCCCTCGTAATATATTGGTGGGGAAATACATTAGAATTCAGAGGCAATAATTAGAGAGATTTTGCACGAGAGTTTCCCCACAATTTTCCCCTCACACTTTTCTAGAATGGTTGCAGAGACTTTTCCTGATTCTTTGTGATTTTGCTATCGGGAAAATCCACAATCAAAGTGCAGTGTCATGCAACAGATTCATGCGGCACTTCCGTTTGTATCTGTTCTTTTGAGTCATATCGCGTCGTCACGTGCTATAACCATACCTGCAGCACGATTCGATTTTGCCGCCCAACGTAATGGACTGCCGTTTCAAGTTTCGCTTCAGCAAGTCTCAAATCTTTGGAGCTGGTTCAACACCTCGAGATCCCCGACTCGTTCACCACCAAAACCCGTTACACAGCCTTAGTCATCGAGGCAGTATGCATCATGCTCAACCACCTTGCGTGGCCATGTCGACTCGGTATAATGGTGCAGTCGTTTGGCCGTAGCCGTGAGGCTCTATCGTCCATCGCTAACGGCATGGTTCAGCATGTTTTCTACCAGTTTGTCCACCTGCTGGAATGGGATTTCGACCGTCTCAACGCCGACTGGATGAAGAGCTGTCGGAACTCAATTCATGCACAAGGAGCTCCCCTTAAAACATCCATTGGTTTCATTGACGGGACAGTGCGTGGTATATGTCGACCTGGTAAAAGGGCTCAAAATGCAGCATACAATGGTCACAAGGTGAGCTTCATACTGTATTACCAACTTTCAATTACAAATAGAGTCTATTTTAGCGAAAGCATGCAGTGAAGTACCAAGCTGTGGCATCACCTGATGGAATTATTGTCCATCTTCATGGACCAGAGCCAGGCTCGCGTCATGATGCGTACCTGTTGGCACAAAGTGGTTTGGTTGAGAAACTACAGAGAGTGCTAGTTGTTTCAGGTACTTGCTATGTGATCTACGGAGACCCAGCGTATGGGATCAATGATGTGATAGTATCAGGATTCAAAGGTACGAGGTTGAATGAGCACGAGGTGGAGTTTAATCGCCGCATGAGTGCTTTGCGAGTAAGTGTGGAATGGGGCTTTGGCATTGTTCGCAACTTGTGGACTTTCATCGACTACAAGGGCGGTCAAAAGCTGTGGCTGCAGTCTCTTGGAATGCACTACAGTGTGGCTATCATATTGACAAACGTGCATACTTGCATGAAGCAAGGCAATCAAGTGTCCCACTACTTTGGGCTCAAACCACCTTCTTCCGCACAATAGTTGCACTCGAAGCAACAATAACTTGAAATAACTGTGCTTCATGTTGAAACAAATTTCTATTTACTCATCGATCGAACTATTTCCAATGCTCCTCTCATAAT